GGAAGGATGGAAGGCTGAGTCAACCTTGAGCCGGTGAGATTTGAACCGCTGAACTGCAGATAGCAGCCAGCTGAAGTGGCCTGCACTCTAACCACTGCGCCACCTCGGCTACCCTGCTGCCCCAAGAACATAGCAGATGTGTGAAAAAAATCACTCTTCTCTAGAAACTTTAGAGGGCTTCAGTGGCACAGTGGTTAGAATGCAGTACTGCTGGCTACTTCTGCTGCCTGCAATTTTCTGGTTCGAATCTCACCAGGCTCAAGGTTGACTCAGCCTTCCAAGGACCCAGATTGTTAGGGTCAATATACTAACTCTGCAAACCGCTTAGAGAGGGCTGTAAAGCACTGTGAAGTGATATATAAGTCTAAGTGCTATGCTATTGCTAAAACAATCAACCACTCTGGCAGGAAAAATTAAAAAAAAATTGGCTGTGGTACTGAATACACACTACACACTGAATACACCAATAAGGGGAACTCAGCCAAAGCTTATGAAACATGCAAGCCTTGGCATCTTAGTATTATGCCTAATCTTGTGTTGCAGGTGCTTAGACAAAAAAAACACATGGTTTATATTTCCCCCCATATTCCAACTCTGTGCAATCAGCATAACTGCCAAGATATATCAATATAAGAATCAGAAGCTGAGCTCAAATCTAGGAGAGGTTTACCTGGAGAACATTTCTTTAAATTTCTGAAAATGAAAATTCTAGACTAAAAGTTCTGCAAGAACAGTGATGGCAAAGCTGTTTGTAAAGGCGGGCCAAAATTGTGTGTGCATGCATGATAGCGTCTGCGCACCTGCCCACACCCACAATGCAATGCACCCAGCCCACCTGCGCATGTGCGTGTGAACCCCCGTGCATGCCTGCATGACCCCCCCCTGCACAGTGGGGGGGGGGAGTTTTCACCCTCCCCAGGCTCTGGAGGCTTTCTTGAAGGAAAGAGTGAAAATGGCCTCCCCCAGTCCTCCAGAAGGCCGAAAATCAGCTGTCTGCATGCACCCTGGAGCTGACAGCTCACGTGCTGGCAGATATGGCTCTGCGTTCCACCTGTGGAACGCTTGCCATAGGTTCGCCATCGTGGTGCTAGAAAGATGTAAGGAAAGAAACCATCTCCTTGGTAGAACCAGGGAAGGCTTTCTCTTGCCATTTCCCAATATAATGCAGTGGTGGGATTCAGCCAGTTCGCCCCACTCCCGGAGAACCGGTTGCTAACTTTCTGAGCAGTTTGGTGAACTGGTTGTTGGAAGAAATCATTNCCCTTAGGCTATGTAGGATAGACGGGGAGGAAGCTAACCACCAGACTTCTGTTAACCCTTACCTAACTCAGAATTGGAGAGGAATGCTGCCCCCTATAGTTGGACTAGTGGAATGAAATCCATAGTGGAATGAAATCCACCGGGACTCCTTTCCTTATCTAACTCTAAGCAGGTGCTAACCGTGAGCTGAGAAGATTCCTGTGCATTGGCATGAACAGGAATGCATCAATTTAAGTGGGCCTCACATTTGAGTCTGATTTTTCACAACTGGCAGTTTGGATTCATTTCTTGGATATCAAAAGAAGGAACAACACACAACAATTAATAAGCAACAATTAACTCATTTGGCAATTTCCAAAAATATATTTCAAGTGCAGAATAATCAAGGGTTGGTATATTCTTCAACTGGTGATGAGGACAGTACCGGAAGAGGAACCAATATCTACTAATGATGATTTTCAAGTACTGTGTTTAATGCAATCGAGTGATTGCCACGTACTGTATATTTGTAATAACTCTGCGAACAACTTACCGGAACGAGAAATTTTTTAATTTCTTCCAGGGCATGACTCATCCGCGAATAAGCTTCTCCAGGAGGGGCAAACACTTCAATTAATACATGTAGTTCATCACTCAAGTGTGCATATTTGGCTTCCTCACTTTTTCTTAGTTCTTCTTCCTGTGGAGAAGTGTATTTTTAGAAATCTCTTTGCATTGATTTAACATTTGTAAATTGCAAAGCAAAGGTCATAATCTAGGCAGACTTTCAGCAAAACGAGGCCCCGTGAGAAACAACAAAATTCTTGTATAAATTACTTGACGTATTAATTATAAATCTGAAAATCACTTTGTGTGAATAATGAAAACTAGCATAATTAACATCTGCAACAGATTTTAATCAATAAAGCATAGAATGGTTAATGCCTCACAGACTGTTGAAATTTTCACAATGCAAAAAAACAAAAAGAACCAGGCTCATTTCTGAAAAAGTGGAAAAGGATCAATTCAGATTTCTTTCACCAGAGTAACGGATGCGATGAACTATAAAATGTATCCTAAAATGCTATTTATTTTGTTTGCTTTATGTATCACTGTTCATCAAATAGAACTGAGCCCAGAATATTTTAGTAAAAAAAAAAGGAAATATCAAACTAGAAAAAACAATTATTAGTAAAATATCCAGACGAATACTTTAAAAATAGCAGCATTTATTGCAATAGCTAAAAGCATTTATCAAAACTAAAATGTAAATAACATGGTAAAATAAAAAAAGGACTCCCTGCAGATTTTACTCTGCTGGATGTTGCTGACTGTAGGGGGCAGTGCTCATCTCCATTTCAAGGCCACTGAGTTAGCACTGTCGGTTTCCGTGATCATGTGGCCATCAGGAGAATGCTGTTACATTCCCACCGAAGTAGTATCTATTTATTTACTCACATTTGCATGCTTTCGAACTGCTAGGTTGACAGGAGATGGGACGAGGATGGGACGAGGATGGGAACTCACCATCACATGCTACTCAGGTATCGAATCTGGCTTGCTAGCTTCCCATCTGACATGCCTAGCATCTTAAATGCTGAGCTATAGCAATAGGAATAGACTTATATATCGCTTCATAGGGCTT